TGAGCTATGTTACCTCTTTGATTCCTCTCATGAATATTGTAAGAAATAAATGAAATATTGTATATAAAACATCTCTAACATAGCAGGTACTCAATAAAACAATTACTAGTATTTTGACTACTCATATAATGCAGTTAACTTAAAAATTATTGGGAAGCAAAAACATGACAAAATAAGTTAAAAGAGAGATCTCACTTTATTCAGTCAGAAATTCAGATGATTTGTTAATAGGTTTAATTCAGGTATTGATTCAGGTATCGTAATATAATGACATTAGGATAGCAGCTAACATATATTAAGCACTATAGTATAAGTGCTGTTAAACATTTACTAAAAATGAACAAATATTAATAATTTATACTTTTTTTTAGCTGGCATAGTGTTCATAGAAAATACCACATAGAACTGAAATGAAGATGAGTCAGGCATTGGACCGCCCCTGGTGGTGCAGTGGGTGAGCACTGGGCTGAGAGACTGCCCGCAGCCTCTGCAGCGCCGGTTTGTTCCCCAGCCGCCAGCAAGTGTCCCACCAAAAGGAAAAAAAAAGATGAGTCAGGCATTACTTGGCAAAATCATTAGAGGTCTAGATCAGCAAGGTCCAATAAACTATAATGCAAGCCACAAGAGTAATTTTTAATTTCTAGTACCTACACCAACAAAAATCTAAAAATCATGTAAAATTAACTATAGGAATATAATTTAACTATATATCCAAAATATTGTTTTACATTGTGGCCAATATGATGAATCATGTATGGAACAAAAACATATATAAATATATATGTTCATACATTATATATTATAATATCCATATTAATTAAAATCCATAATTAATTATATATACAGAGAGAGCATATATATTGAGCAATCCATAATTAATTATGTTTATTATATTTATAATTAATTATGGATATTTTAGGATTTTTCATGAAGCCCAGTGTGCTATTCACTTATAGCAGATCTTGATTCATACTAACTCCTTTCCAAGTGCCCAGAAGACACCTAGTGGTTACCCTCTGAGCATTGCAAACCTAGATTACCTACAGATTGGATCATGATTTTCAGGATAATCTGGATAACTTGATTATAATCCTTAGAATTTACTTTTTAGAACATCATAGAACCAACCTGCTATATGCATGACCTAGATTATGATATATCAGAATGATAAACTGATAAAAAAATCTGTCCTGGGGGAAAATAATATCAAAGCTACAAATTTCCCACTTCAATACATTTCTCCTATATCCTAAGGACAGAAATACATTAATTCTCTCTAGTGTTTTATTATTTTGCCTGCTTCTAAAATCTAAGCCTTCATATAACAATTTAATGATAAGAAAATTTTGTCTTTGAGGCAAGCTCTCGTAATACACCCTGGTAGTATTGGGTCTGTTGTAAATAGTGGGATTGTTAAGCCAAGTACTTTGGCATAGACCTCCATGCTTTTAGAAATACTTGAAGTAGGTAGAAGCATTTACACAATATTGTATCTCAAGGTAATGCATTGCAAACCCATTAGAAGGGTCTTAGCTTTTGCTGTTGAAAGGTTGTATTCCCTTGTATTTCAGCTTTTGTGAGCTCTTTTGTTCCTATCCTGCTACTAAAAGGACGTTAGTGTAGAGAAAACGTGACTCAGCTATTAGTTTCTCCCTGAACTCTTATGAGGCCTGATATGCAGGACTTGATCATCAGCTTGGGTAGTGTTTCAATGTTTATTCTCTGACAAAGGACCCCATTGATTGTCTCTAGCATTAAAGTAATTGACATTGAAGATTTGACCAAAGATCTGTAATACCAAAGTATTACAGTGAAGTTCTTTGAAGTATTTTGGAGATGACTAGAAGTAAAGTTGTAATTGATAACCCATACTTATTCTTGTTCAGTTTCTGAGTCCAATTCATTCATTAAATCAATATTTATTTAGTACTCATTATATACGCAGGCATTTTTCTAAGCAATGGAGATACATAATAGAGGGAAATCTCAGCTCTTGTGGAGCTAACATTCTAGAGAGGGGAGACAGAGAAAACATATTCTATCTTATATTAGAAAGCAGCTGGTGCTGTGGCAGGAAAGGCAGGGAAAAGGACAGCAAGTGTAGGATGGGTGCAGGGATAATGTGTGTTGCAAGAGAATAAGGGAAGATCACACTGATCTAGTGACACTTGAACACAGTTATTGATGGAGATGAAGGAAGGAGCATGACAACACCTGGAAAAGAGCTTTCTAGTTAGAGAGAACAGTAAGTATAACAGTCCTGAGGAGGAGGAAGCCAATTTGGCAAGGTCAGGGCACAGCAAGAAAGGCACTGGGGCTGGAACAAAGTGAACATGGGGGAAAGTAAAAACAAATGATATCCACTCTATAGGGAAGTAGGAGGGTAAATGGTGGACTGATGGTCTCTATAAGGACTTTGGCTTTTACCCTGAGAAAGCTGAGGAATGGTTGGAAGGTCATGAACAGAACAGAGACATGATCTATAAACAAAGGATCACTCTGTGCTCCTAATAGGTGGTAGTTCATTGGAATAATCCAGGTGAGACACGAAGAAGGCCTGACACAGGGTGAGGGTAGCAGGGTGATGATGAACTTTGAATTCTGATATGTTTCGAAGCTTGGAGTGAAGAGTGTTCCCCAAGTGAATGAATGTTAGTTCTGAGAGCAAGAGAGGAACCAACACTGATTTGCTTCCCAGAGACTGTTCTGATTGATAGGCAGTTGAAACTCTTTTTTCATCACCCTCCATCCAAGTGACCTGGAAGGTTGATTTATCGAAACTCCCGCAAAACAACGCTGGATGATGTGCAAGACAGTGCATCTCCATGGCCAAGAGACTGCTCTCTGGAATTCCCCTCCATCTCTACCCCCAACTTCTATTCCATCAGTTGAGTTATATGTTTACCAAGAATTGTTGATGTCTTTCCAAAGTCCTATTATTCTTATTTCATTTTTAATAATTAGATTAATTAAAAAGGATATAAAATTATGGAACATGGGTTTGAAAACAAAGAACTGAAGGCTTTCAAAGGCTTAATAAAACTGAGCCTTAAAAATTACTGAGTATGAGGGCCTCCCTGGTGATCTAGGGGTTAAGTCTCAGCACTACCACCTTGAAGGCCCACCATGATGGCCTGAGTTCAATCCCCAGCCAGGGAGCTAACCCACATAGAGCAGCAGGCCTCTCCTATCTCATCCACTGCTCCCCTCAGCAGTATATTTCATTGGATTTGCCTGTGCTGCTCCCCACTCTGTCTTTGGTGAATCCTCTCAATCCCCACACCTCTGGCCTGCACCCCAGTTCTTCTACGCAAAATAAACTTAAAAAAATTACTGAGTATGAGACAGTTGTAAAAATGGAAGAAAAAAATCTTCAATAAAAAATGATTATGTCCTCAAATTACTTTGCAAATTTATAAATTCTTGCTTTAAAGATATCCAAACTGGGCCTCCCCAGTGGCGCAACGGTTGAGCACTGGGTTGCGAAGCTGCCCGCAGCCTCTGCAGTGCCGGTTTGATCTCCGGCCAACGGGCGAGGGTCCCACATGGCGCACAGACCTCTCCTGCCACCCACTGCTCCCCTCAGCAGTGTACTTTGTCAGTCTGCCTACTCTGCTCTCCACTCTGGCTCTGGTGGATTCTCTGCGCTTCTGACTGTACTCAGTGCTTATATAAATTAATTTTTTTAAAAAATAAAATAAAATAAAGATATCCAAACTAAGGATTATAGTTTTGGATGTAGTTTATGTAGAGGTGTAGTTTATGTGAGAAAAACACTGCAGATCTATCGTCAGATACAGGTTTTATGGCCTGTGGCTTTTATGTGAACATTGACAGTGTATGCAGTAGATGCTCACAGGATGACTCATAGTCTACTTCTCCTACAATAAACTGACCAACTGCCTCTTCAGATCACACTAAAGGTGACTTTTTGATTTATTTTACTGATAGTTTACATACTTTAAAAATGTTAATAGGGACAAGTGCTTTTCTTGAACTATATTTCTTCATTTGGGTGCATATCAGGGGCACCCTGGGTTTTGTTTTTTAATGTATTTTTTCACTTAAAATCAACCTTTAAAATTAGACTAAGGGGTAAGAATATACAGCTTGACAGTTCAGAATTCAACCACAGTGAAGTGGTTGAAAAACTATAATACCATAATATTAAAAACTATAATCCTATAATAGATTATAGTTTTGGATGTGGTTCAAAAACTATAATACTGTCACAAAATAATTGGATCTTCTGTATACAACAAAATACAATTTAAAAATTTCACTGTTATTTTCATTAGTGTGTAATGATAGAAAAAAAGAGAATGCTGCAGAAATACCTCTTGACCCCTAGAGGGCGCAGGGTGGAAAGAAGGTTTAATCCCTCAGAAGGGCACTATCTCCAGACCAGCAACGCTAAAGAGAACAGAGAAAAAGATGCCGTCCATCTCAGTGAACATTCAATATGGGATGCTAGCAGGCACATGGCTATAAATAGTTAACTCTACCTGAGTTTTGAAGTGTAGTGATTAAGCAAAATTGCAGAAACCTCATATTGTATTCCTACCTAAATGGAGTGTGTGGGAGTAATGGGGGGGCGGTGAGAGGTGGGAACAGAATAGAGAATTAGAGAATGAGAGAGTGTGTATGTGAGAGAGAGGAACCCAAAATGCGCCATGCTTTAATTATAAAAAACATAAGAATACTGCTAGAAGTCCATGAACTTGGCTAAATTAAGCACCAAATTCACAGTTCTAAATTCACAGTTCTGCCAAAGGCTAATGCTGTAGATTTTCCTTCAAGAAAGGAAACAAATCCAAGCACAATACCCTCCTGTGCTCTCCCTGATATTTCAGACACATTTTCCTTATCACTTAGATGTTTAGCACTTTATCACTTGAGGAGGGTTTTTCTTCTTCCTTCAACATACTATGGAAGTGTTTCAAATGAAAACAGCATAATGTCTATTATGAAGAATTTCACACACCAATTTCATTGCTACATAATGTCATTCCTTTATTGAAATTAAATTATGAACACACAATGGAAAAATGCTCCTCAAAAGAGGAAGGTAAATATTGACCATTGATAGGACAAAGCTATCTTCAAAAGAAAGATGTGAGGTTTCACAGTTCAGGTTATATGTATATGAAGCCAGGCTTGTCTATATATGTGGAGCCGCAGGTGCAAGGTTTTGGATGAGGAGGCTCAAGAATGTCTCCAGCTGCTTCCTTGATCTGTATGCAATCAGTCCTCCCTTGTTGGCCCACCTGTCTACACCTGTAGCACCTTCATTTTGCACGTGGTACACCAACTGTGGCAAATCAAGCCCTGCTTCCAGATTTCTTTCCAAGCATTCTTTTAAGTCTACCATTCCCCCGCCCATGGCCCTTAGTATGGCATGGGCAGCACAAGAGTCCCACTTGAATGTGGTATCTTCTGAAAAGATGTAAATGTCAACAAGGCCTTGGACAACACAGAGGCTCTTGTAACCAGCCCCAGCCGCCCGGAATATGCCATCTCCACATACGCGTGTCAGCGCCGCTTTGATGCTCTCCTTTTCACTTGTGCTAATGACAGCTGAAAAGCGGTAGGAGGACTCTGTGTCAGTGCTGGCGTTTTGGGGCGGGTGGCTCAGTGCTGCACTAGTGTTTCTTTTAGAGTTGGGGGACTGAAGTGAATAGACATTGGTCCCCTTATAAGAAAGGCCCCAGTAGCACTGTCCTTTCCACCTGTGGAAGAGAAAGCTCAGTTTACAGAGGTAGGTCATCGCTTTGTTTTACTCTTGTGGCTTTCTAAGGTAATGAAAATATATAGACACAGAATGTATTGAATTGTAATGCCCTTAAACCTAGGAATCAAGTAGCTAACTCATTCCTAGAAGTTATTCATATGCCTGCAGCTGCCTGTTGACTTGCAGATGAGGAACGCTGTCCATTTTACAGCATTATCACATCAATCTAGACCAACAATAAAATATTTGTTGGATGTCTGGCCTCTGGGAACATTGAAAAATATCCTTAGAACTTTTGGCATTTAAAGCTTACAGGAAAAAAAACAGACAACTTTCTTTTTAATTTGCAAATCTTTTACAGTCCTTATAAGTTTTTGCCCATTAGGTAGCTGCCTTTTACTCTCTTCTTTACTAGCTCTGCTTTGACTTTAACTGCTAGAAGCTCATCTTTGGCAGCAGCAACCATAATAACACTTATTTATCAGTGTTTAACTATTATATATGTGTGTAATTTACTCTATTTACAGAGAAGGAAACTAAGACTCAGGGAATCCTGGCCATACCTACTAATCATTATGTTATTTTCACATTTTGTTTTTTGAGTTTCTTCTAAAATTGTACAAAAGTTTAACTGGCCGTATAGTGATGGTATCTATCTTGTACCAAGTATATTAGAAGACAGTGTTACCACATTCTAATAAACTGGTTTTGGATGGATTCTAAAAAACAGGGAACAAGATTGCTAAATTCCAAATGCAGATCTCTGATTTCACCAAGAGATATTTCTTCTAAAAGTTTCTACCAGCATGCACCTAGCCTCAAATGAAATTTTGCAAAATCTAGGGTTGGAAATAGAAATAACTTTAATGCAGACATGCAGACTGGTAGTAGGAGCACTCCGTGTTGAGTCATTGGAATGTCATGTGGCATGATAGTCCTGACAGCAGAACTGAGGTCATTAGGTTCAACCGCAATATACCAAAAATGTTCATCTTTTACCTGAGGGTTTTTGGGTCTTGTGATACAAAAGGTTGGTTGATGACACCCATCAGGGGCACTCCTGTCTGTAGGTCATAGACACCAATTAAAATGGTGACACACTGGAGTCCACTGGGAAAGATTCCTTGGTTAGCTTTAATGTCAGCAGAACCTTTTATATACTGATATGTTGAATCTGAAAAATAGAGCAAATTTGGATTCAGGTAATGTTTATTTAAAAATGATGAATACATCTGTAAACTCCATCCTATAATTATTTCTCTCATTTACTAATTTGCATGGTCTGAATATTGTTTTTCCCCTTCACCCCAAAGTTCTAAGCCCACCAACATCATGCTATTAGTGAGTGTGGCCTCTGGGAGATACTTTCTGCATGGGAGGGAACCTACATAAATGAAGTTAGTGCCTTATAGAAGAGGTTCCAGGGCCTCCCTGGTGGCGCAGCGGTTGGGCGCTGGGTTGCGAAGCTGCCCGCAGCCTCTGCTGCACCAGTTCAATCCCCGGCTGCTCCCCGGCCACCGGAGGAGGGTCCCACATGGCGCGCAGACCTCTCCTGCCGCCCACTGCTCCCCTCAGCAGTGTACTTCGGTCCCTCTGCCTGCTCTGCTCCCCGCTCTGGCTCTGGTGAATTCTCTCACCCTCCCGCGCTTCTGACTGTACCCAGTGCTTGTATGTATGTATGTATCAATCAATCAATCAATCAATCTTTACAAAAAAAAAAGAGGTTCCAGAGAATCCCTAGTCCCTTCAACCAAGTAAAGACACAGCCAGTGCTATTTTAGAAGCAGTGCTTCTAATCCTGGAAGAAAACCCTCACCTAATCATGTTGGCAACTTGATCTTGGATTTCCCAGCCTCCAGAACTGTGGGAAATAACTTTCTATTGTTTATGAGTCATGAGTCTGTGACATTTTATTGTAGCAGCTTAATGGACTAAGATAGTGACCAATCAAGTTTTATCTTTGAGGCTTAATGTACCAAATTGTTATTTGACCACTTGTACTTCACTTTTAAGCTGCTAGTATTTCATTTTCCTGACTCCATGGGAACTCTTGAAGGGAGAGGATGTGTTTGTGGTTCCAGTGGCATCTAGCATCACATCTTACATATAATAAGCATTCAAATATTCACCACATGTCAAATGCATTTAATGACTCAGGATAACTGGTGGGATTCTTTAAATCTCTTACTAATCAGAGGACAAGTCCAAAGTGGATGGAAAAGTCTTCTTCCAGAAGAGTGTCAAGAGTATGATTACTTTTTTGTCCCCTCCAATAGGGAGGAAAGAAACAATGATGGTAGTATAAAAGGAAGAAATGAATGGTGTCATGTGACAAAGAAGCAAAGGAGCTAGGCTTCTCCTTAAGTGATGACTGCTGACATGTAGTGACTTAGCAATCAGTTAACCAAGTGCTAGGCCAAAGTTGTGCTGGTTGACAGAAGTCAATTTAGGATAGAATCAAGAAACAGATCTCTGGGCCTCCCCGGTGGCGCAGTGGTTGAGCGCTGGGTTGCGAAGCTGCCCGCAGTCTCTGCAGCGCCGGTTCGATCCCCGGTTGCTCCCCGGCCACCAGAGGAGGGTCCCACATGGTGCGCAGACCTCTCCTGCCGCCCACTGCTCCCCTCAGCAGTGTACTTCGGGCCTTCTGCCTGCTCTGCTCCCCGCTCTGGCTCTGGTGAATTCTCTCACCCTCCCGCGCTTCTGACTGTACCCAGTGCATGTATAAATAAATAAATAAATCTTTAAAAAAAAAAAAAAAAAAGAAACAGATCTCTGTTCCTCAAAATTTATCTGATGCTGATTCTTATTTTGCATATATAATCCTGTGGCAGAATGTTAAAATGGCCTCTGATGTATGGCATTTCTATAACATTGTGTTAATGTGTTTGTAGTCTGGGAAGTGGGGAGGAGTCTGCCTGTTCAGTGTAATGAATGGCTCCATGTGTTAGGTGGAAGATGTAAGTAAGATGGAAAAGAAAATAGAAAAGAACTTTTGAAAAGTAATACCTAGAGCATTGTATTAATTGCACTGTTGTGATGAGGCTTACACTTTTCAAACAATGACCTATATATTATGGTTCTATATAATGATGAATAATAATAATAGATGAGGTTTACACAGGGCTCACAAACTTATTACTAATGAGACAGAAGCAACTACTTTGCTTGACCTGGTTGGTGGTTTTGATTGTTTGCTTGTTGACTGAATTAGTAATCAGAGGTTAACAACTAGGACATCTCATTTTAAAAAGCCTAGGTTTTGGCTTCTTTAAAAAAAAATCTCAAGAGATCTGGCCCATACTCCTATGTGGTAGCAATCTGCTAGAGCTAAGTAGTCCTTAGTGGCAGGTGTACTCAATTAGTCCTAAGTGCTACCATTTCATCTTTCTCTCATATTTTCCAGTCTGGCCCCTGAAGTCTTAAGAATGAGTTAATTCAGCTTTGTAGGTGTGCCTGATTGTAGGTGTGTGTTCACTTGCACAAATACACGTACACACCAACTATAGATATCCATCCACTTAAAACAACACATCCTAAAACAAACATCTCAATTCTTCATTTATCATTTTAAAACTTACTCTCCTATACTCACCTATTGGATCCACCCAGATTCCCAAAATGTCCTGTGGAATGTTGATTTCTATGGAATCCAGAGTTGGGTCAGTATAGGCAACATCCTGATGAACTACCTTGGCTAAAGCTTCAGAGGCCAACTTGTTACCATTAAGGACTTTGCAAAGAAGTTCCACTGTTTCTTCCTCTGTTGGACACAGTCTCAAGATAACCTTTTCCCCTAGAATAAAGACAAACTAAAATCTATTACATTTCAAGTGTTTCAGGGAGAAAGCACTACAGAGGGTTAGGGCAGCAAAAGCTGTGCAAAGTCTATTCGTGTCTGATATATTGTTGAAAAGAGTTTTATCAGCATATGGAAGTGCTTCTACCTCCTATGATTCTGCTTTTAACTAAAAAATATTTATACTTAGCATAGTAAAATAGAAAGATGAATACCATTTTTAAATATAGTAAAACTGTTTGACTCTAAATGATACATATACAAACAACTCTGATCTGTGAAACCCACTGGACATCAGGACATCAGCAAAGTTGCTTCACCAAGTGAAACCACAATTTACCAAGTCGAGGTGCTTAACCGTCACTTTAGTCATACTGCTTAGAACCTCTGTCAATCTGGTTTCTAGTCCCCAACACAAGTGAGAAAAAGGATAACAAAAATAGGCAAACTAATAGCAATTATAAGTGATAGCAAAGGAGAAAATAAAAGCTTTTTAAATTAAGAAAATGTGACATTTTGGGACGGTGTATACACATGTGTATCCACAATGTTCTTAGCTATCCCAAGGACCAGTAGCATCTGCATCACCTCGGAGCTTGTTAGGAATTCAGAATTTCCAGACCTGGGTTTTAACAAGAGCTCCAGTGATTCAAATGATTCTTTTTTTTTTTTTTTTTGCTTTATTCTGGTTTGTTTGTTTTGTTTGTTTTGTTATACATGCACTGGGTACAGTCAGAAGTGCGGGAGGGTGAGAGAATTCACCAGAGCCAGAGCGGGGAGCAGAGCAGGCAGAAGGACCGAAGTACACTGCTGAGGGGAGCAGCGGGCGGCAGGAGAGGTCTGCGCACCATGTGGGACCCTCCTCCGGTGGCCGGGGAGCAGCCGGGGATCGAACCGGCGCCGCAGAGGCTGCGGGCAGCCTCGCAACCCAGCGCTCAACCGCTGCGCCACCGGGGAGGCCGATTCAAATGATTCTTAAGGCTTGAGAAGGACAGTGTGAATCTACTGCAATGATGACTGAATTTGTCAGTGTTTAAAGTTCGCTATTTTACTATTTAACACAAAACCCAAATTAAAAGTAATTTCCGTCTCTGAAAAGAATCCTAAAGATTTTGATATTTTTCTCTGTACCACAGGGAACATGGAGGTCCATCAAAAAAGAATTTAGCTCACAGGAAATGGATTAAATAAGACTTAAAACTTAGTGTGAAAAGAAACCTTTAGTTAGCACAAGTCCCTTTACAGAGGTTTTGAATGCAGAGAAGTGATAAGGTGATTTGCCCAAGACCACACAGTGTTTCAGCAGCAGGGACTCTCTACATTCTCAGCCAAGGCCCATGGACTCCCTAGGGGGCCAGGGATCAAAAAACCTTGGTCCAGAAATTGTCTGTATGGTTATATAGATGTGAAGCTTTCTGAGGGTATCTATAACTTCCATTAGAATCCTAAAATCTTTTCCCAAAGGCTAGGTCATATATTATTTAAATGCTACTAATTTACACCTAAAATAATACATCCATTTGAAAATTAAAATACCTTATAGCTAAATTTCAAAAATACATTAAGATTCTTTTACTTACCCAAATCATTAGTAAACTCATTGGATTCTTCCCCCAAAACTTTGTTCCCCAAACCTGGAAACTGAATGATTCACAATGTGACAAAAACAGCAACAAAACCTTGTATACATGTTCATTCTAAACAGACTTCCATTTATATTTCAAATTAAATAGCACAATTAGACTGGAATACAAAAATATGCAGTTCCAGAAATTAATCCAAGACTAAAAAAGTCAAGTCATTTTTTTGTTCAATGTTGTTTCCTATTATTTCCCTGCTTGTATGTCCCTTTAGAAAGTCCAAATCATGATAGAGGTCTAGTTTTCTTATGTCCTATTGAGTTTGCAAATGTACTTCTAGTTCTCTTATCCTTCTGTTGATACTTAGGAGCCATAGAACTAAGATTTTAGCATTCTAGATATTTTTAAGTGGTAGACTTAGTACACTAATAGCTAATACAAGTTAATACTATTGATCAAATACCTAAAAGTATTACTTGAGACTAGATAGAAAGGATTAGGTAATATTAGATTGTGTTTTCATTTCTAGGTATGTGTTCTGCACTTGTTGGAGGTATCATTAGCCTTCGGGCTAGGGAGGTGATATAGCAAAAACAATAGGGGGAAATATTTTATCGACTAATAATTTATACATCAATATTGAATGAAAAAGTAGAACCAAAAATCTTCTTTTATCTTTGTATGACCAGATATATTTTGCTTCCGATTCTCTCTATAGTAAAAATAATTCTCAAAATACGTGCTGAATTATGATATCTGTAATATTCTCAGAGAACAAAAGCAAGGAAATGATTCAAATATTTGAACTAGGTCTTTTACAGAGGGCCATTAGCTTTAATAATGCTGACAACTACTTGTTGTTCTTTTTCTCTTTTGCAAAATCATTCAAGTCAACAAGGACTGGTAACAAGCTTATGTATCGGAGACTGAAGCTCAGTCTCTCAAGACTGCTTAGAGACTGGTTTCTGAGGCTACAGGATAGAAGAATTGTGAAACAAAGATATTTTATATAAACAAAATTGAATATTATTTATCTGTTCATAAATCTTGGCATAGTCTTGTGAATGAATAATTGCCTGAATTTGTTATAATGCTTTAGGGCAAATACGAACCCATAAAAATTAATGTCAATACATTTCTAATCCAGCTGCTTAGCCATCCCTTGTATCCAAATGTCTTCATAAGTAACAAAAAATAAACTTATTTCATTGATTTATGGGAGCCTGGTATTTTAGGGCATTAAAAATATATAGTTTGTAGCAATTTCAAGATATCATTTATTCTCTCTACCTGCCTATATTCAAGATTACACTTAAAATATTCTAAATAATTCTCAGTATTTTGAGGATTTTATAGAAACTATTTTCCAGTATTTTATGGTGCTTTCTCCTATCCTCCCAAGTCTGAAGAGAATGTAATTATTATATTATTATATAAAAGGCAATATAATATTGCAAAGAGCACAGACTCTTGAGGCAATTGGCCTGTCAAAAACTGGCCCTGCCGTTCACTCACTGTGCAACCTTTGAGAAGTGACTTAATCTCTCCGTGACTTCTTTTTCTCATCCATTACATTGGAATAGTAATTCTTACCTCAGAAATTGTTATGAGTTAAATAAGCTATCTCTGGCTCATTTATATGTGCCTACTAGTGTTATTGTTTGTATTACTACTTATGAATAGCTTCTTTTCCCAGTCACCTTAAGGTACCTAAAATCATTGTTAGTAATACAGTGTTTTTCTACTAGAATACAGGAGAACTTTAGAACTTCAGCACTCTACAAACCTGTAACCCAGTCAAGAATTAAATAAATGAGTACAAAAAGGTGGGACTTAATAGACCAATTAAAAAAACCCAGTATGTTCTCATTTCTGTAATGAAACATTTCTCATTTCTCATCATTATAAATCAACAGCATTTTTATTTTGTCTTATTTTTCAGAGAACAGGTATTAAACGAAAAATTCTAGACCAGCTATTTCAAAATGTTTCTAGCTGTTAGATATGTGAGTTATTCCCTTTTTTGCTTTTGTGTATTTTGATTTTTTTCTGTGGTGAATATTTTGGTAATATAGTCAAAACAAGGGAGAAATCCCAAGTTGTTTATGTGAATCTAAGGTGTGAGTGTTTGGAGGGAGGAAAAAGAAAAAGGCATGCTCTTCTGTCAGTGGAAGAAAACCACAGGAGCACACACTTTGCCAAGTACCTTGGTTGTGACCTTTCTTACCTTGTTCTCCATATTCTGTTTTATAACTTCCTGCACCAGTACATCAGCCAGGGTCTTGAAATCAACTGCAAACTTCTTGTTCTTTTCTCCCTCTTTCTTCTCCTCTATGAGCAACTGGAAGAGGGCCTCCTGCTGCCTGCATGCCCTGGCAATGTTGGCAGCTCTCTCAGAGACACAGAGCAGCTCTCGAAGGATATCTGACATTTCAGGACCTTGCTTTTCAGTTGCAGCTACTGGTGGAATCAGTAGGCACCCACCCTCTGGGTGTCAGCTGGAAAAGTACAAGAATGTGAAAGAGAAAGCGTTCAGAGAGTGATGTCAGGGTGACTCCAGCAATACTCACAACCCATCTGGCAGTCAAGCTGGTCAGCCTGGTTGAACAGCTAGTATATATCATAGTCATATCCTCAGTGTGGAAGAATGACTATCCTTGAAAATTTGAAACTTCCAAAAATTTCTTCAAATATTTGGGGGTCTCGAAAATCCATTATACAAAAAATTGGATTGTCAGTGAAGGAAAATACTTGAATGAGAATTTACATTATTTTTATAAATCCCTAGACAGGCAGGCAGGCAGACGGATACACAGCAAAATGTTAAAGAAAAGCCAAATTCTTGTAACGACCTTAGAATAATCACACAGGCTGAGTGGCAGGATTGAATCACTGTACTTTCTTTCATTCGGTGGGGGAAAGGGTAAAGTGAGAAAGAATTTACCCTATCAGTTCTGGGCCAACTTTCTACAGAACAAAGCACCACGCCAGCAACTCTGTTATGCCCTGCAAATCTCTGAGGCAACTTGTGGGCCAGCAGCCCAATTGATCTGCCAGCCACTTTGTCCCATAAAAAAAAGACCCACTATATGTGCTGCTCTGCTACCAAGTAATGCTTAAATAATAAAATGTAATAGAAAATCAACTTGTTGGGATTTGGAAAAGTCCCAAAGTGTGCTATCATACCATGATCTACATATAGAATCTCCCTTGCAAATAAGAAATGCTTCTCATTTTAAAAGTAATACCAACATTTTATGGAGAACTTTAATAATTTGTCTCTTGTTATTGTGAGCATTATTGTGAGGATTATCAGGCCTGTTTTACAGTCAAGGAAACTAAAGCTTAGGGAGGTTAAGTAATTTCTTCAGGGTTACACAAGACCAAACAGCAGGACTCAGAATTGGTCTTACACAGAAGCCCATACTCTTTATTACCATAATAAACAGTACTTCTCTTTTAAAAGTTCCCTTTCCTGGACTCTAGGAGGCTGAGTCAGTACAGCTATAGAGATGTCAATGAAGTTATTTGTGAATTGTCGTAATTGTGATTTGTCTTAAACAAATTTGTTAAATAATATCTTAAGATTATGGGTGAACTATAATCAACCAGGATCTTGAAATCAATTGGGAAAGTATGTTCAACCTCAAAAGTGATCAAAGGAGGGCCTCCCCTGGTGGCGCAGCGGTTGAGTGCTGGGCTGTGAAGCTGCCTGCAGTCTCTGCAGTGCCGGTTCGATCCCGATCACTGGGTGAGGGTCCCGCATGGCGCACAGACCTCTCTTGTCTCGCCCCCTGCTCCCCTCAGCAGTGTATTTCGTCAGTCTGCCTGTTCTGTTCCCTGCTCTGGCTCTGGTAAATCCGCTCACCCTCCCGCGCTTCTGACTGTACCCAGTGCTTGTATAAATAAATAAATAAATCTTTAAAAAAAAAGTGATCAAAGTAAAGTGAATAAAACCAAGTCATCCTACTTCATTATTAGATAGAAAAGGCTGGTTTTTAAAAATTGTTTAGTGAAGTAATATTGTATTAGAACATTATTTAAGTTTCAGGTGTGCATCATTATAAATCAACATGTGCATATACTACATTAAGTTCCCTACTAAAAGTTATCTATCCCTCATCATGGCTTTGACCCTTTCCCCAAATTTATCTACACTCCCTCCCTACTTCCATTCTGATTTCACTAATTTGGTATTCTAGGCTAAATGTTTGTTTCAGTTTTATTTAGATCATTCATTTGTTTTGTTTCTTTATGTACCATATGTTGATGAATAAGTGAAATCATACAGTATTTGTTTTTCTCCATTTGGCTTATTTCTTTTTTCTTTTTTTTTCAAATAGGCTGTTGTTGGGTTTTTTTTTTTAGATTTATTTATTTATTTATTCAAGCACTGGGTACAGTCAGAAGCACAGGAGGGTGAGAGGATTCACCAGAGCCAGAGCGGGGAACAGAACAGGCAGACTGACGAAATACACTGCTGAGGGGAGCAGCGGGCGCAGCCGGAGAGGTCTGCGCACCATGTAGGACCCTCGCCTAGGCCGCCGGGGATAGAACCGGCACTGCAGAGGTTGCGGGCAGCTTCGCAACCCAGCGCGCAACAGCTGCACCACCTGGGAGGCCCCATTTGGCTTATTTCATTAAACTTAATACCCTCTAGGTCCAAACATGTTGTTACAAAATAGCAGGATTTCATAAATTTTTGTAGCTGGAAAGTATTCCATTATGTATATATGCCACACCTTCTTTATCAATCATCTGTTGATGAGCACTTAGGTTAATTTTAAAGTTAACATTCATTCTTGGTGAAACATATGCTCACACTTTGCTAATAAGTGTGCAAGCAAAAGGGGTTTCTAAGGATGAGTTGAGACTAATGGATAAAGATGTGATATATATACACAATGGAATACTATCCAGCTATAAAAAGGAATGAAATCCTGCCATTTATGATAACATGAATGGACCTAGAGGTTATCATGCGATTCACTCATACGTAGTATAGAGAAAACAAACAGATGAGCTAATAAAACAACTACAAACTTTTGGACTATAGGACCAATTAGTAGTTACCAGAAGGGAAAGGGAGAAGGCAGTTGGGAAATCAGGAAAAGGGAACAGTGGTATAATGAAGGGACAGAATTAAACTTTTAATGGTGAAATAATGTAGTATATGTGAGTTCTCAAGGATGAAACTTATATAATGTTATAATGCAATGTTACTTCAATTAAAAATTAAGTTTTTGAAGAATATTAATATGAAATATGTAAATGCTATAATATGAGGTGGGAAAATTCCCTATGACTTTATATATTGCAAGATAGTATAAAATCAATTTGTGTTAATACATAACACAAATATATGTATATATTATGGTTTATATACAATGTATACAAATATATAAATTATATGTAAACTATGTATATATATGTGTGTGCATATATATAGATGGAGAGAGAATTATCGAAAGGGTAGTAGATGATGTTTCAGTGATAAATAGATATTTAAAGGTAATTATCACTGAGTACTGGAACTGGGTATTTTTTCATTATGCTTTTTAAAATTCTCAAATATTCTACAAAAATATTACTTTGTAACAAACAATACATTTTAAAATATCTCAGGACAATTAAGCATGAAGGACAAATATTACTCAATCCTGGAGACAATTGCCCAAAGTGGTACACATAAAGCTTTCGGTGGTATAGATGACAGAGTTAAAAGCTGAACAAAATAGGGCCTCCCTGGTGGCGCAAGGGGTTAAGCATCAGCAATATGAAGCAATCCTCAGCTACAGCAGCAGCCCAAGTTCAATCCCGGGCCAGGGACCTGACCCACATGTCACAGCAGACCTCTCCTGTCTTGCCTACTGCTCCCCTCAGCAGTGTATTTCAGTAGATCCGCCTGTTCTGCTCCCCACTCTGTCTCTGGTGAATCTTCTCAAACCCGCCCCTCCCCCCCCAGCTCTGGCCTATACCCCAGTTCTTGTATGCATAAATAAATAAACCCTTAAAAAAAAACAGTTAAACAAAACACCTGCCTAACTAAATGCTTTTTCTTTCAGGAATGAATGATATGATCAAAGATTCATTTTGGTTGACTTGAACCTAAACACTAAGAAAAACAGTTACATTAGTAAAGCTGAGGGAATTTCACTGAGAAATAACTTATCTGTGTGCTATAATTACATATAAATTACACATGGGTGCATATATTTCTTAGTAGAAAGCACAAACTTCAAAAGTATGTACTTAATTTTTTGATTTCTTAGTAAATTGTCTGAGGTTATTATAATTGAAGGGCAAAGAATCAATGAAGCAGTAATACCTAATAGCTTTTTATCTTAAAAGCAGCATGAAGATCTAAGGAGTCCAATTTGAAAGCTTTCTAGATAATGATCATTTACTCCATTTTTCTAAAACCAATTTTTTTTTTTCAAGAAAAAAAATGTACCATTAAACTGTTAGGTAACCAAAAAACTCCCCCAAAGATGCCCTAACACCCAGATGAGCTACTCACAGGGGACTCTCTCTCTCTCTCCCCCCCCCCACTTCCTCACACAAAAAGCTAGCCAATGGCCCTAATTAGTGTCTGCACTACTGTCTCAGGGATCTGGAATTTCTCCCCTTTGGACCGGACCTTTATTTCTTCAACAATGAACATTCTCACTCCAACTAAGCAAAGCAACTTGACCACAGAAAGAAATATCAAGTACAAACTGCAGTCCTATACTTAATAGAGATACAGATTTTAGGAATACACTATAGCAAAAATAGGATTTTTCAGTTCTGGAAACTCAGTTTTCCAGAGTTCAACCATAATTACTCTTTATTCTGACCTTTGTGAACACTATTGGATTTTGGCAAACTCCGGTTTGACCATCCAGGTTGAGTTTGGAACTAAGCTTTCTCCAGTCATTCTAATAGAACCCAGCACTTCTTCAGCTATTTACTTTTTTTCCAGGGCCCTCGTTCCCTAAAACAATCTCTCCCAGCTGTCATCATCTACAAACAAGACTTTCTAGTTAAGCTACACACTGAGTTGCCTGCTTTCTGGCTGAATAGACTATTCAGGACCATTCCTCCTAATGAATCAAACTACCACCCTCTCATTAGCTGCTTCCATATCTTTTCCCCCATCTGTCCTCAGTTCATTTCACTCAGGCCACAACCCTGAGGAAGTGCTGGACAATTTATCATTTTAAGTGATCCAACTTGAAATAACTTGTCTATGGGGAAACCAGGGCTACATGTGATATGGCATTTTTTCAGATTTATCAACTGATGTTATAGTCATGGAAATTATCTTTCAGATTATTTTTAAAAACAAATTTATACACTCATTACTATACCTAAGGTAGTTTTATTTAAATATTTCAAGTGCTTTAAATGAGAATTATTATAGAATCACAATTAGTAAGGTTTGACATTTAGCATAAAATAGTCTTGAATGTGGAGGAAATTCCTTTTGATTAGTATTTCTTAATAGGCATTCTGA